TTTCCACCTGTTTTGCCACCTTGAACCTCTGCTGCCTCTTCAATGGCTCTAGGACAGGCAAAACGGCAAGGAAGTTATGACCATTTTGCCATTGTTGCCTGTCTGCTCCCTATTTTCTATGTTCCTAGAAAAACGTTTGAGCAAGACATGAGAACCAGTGTGTTAATCCTTCAAAGAACATTTGCATCTCCTTCTTGTTGGGATGGCACACTGTACTACTGTGGATGGTGCCCCCATTCACATACCATTTTAAAATATCTTACTTCTCTCCTTTCAAAACCTGCTGTCTGAACCTACAGAATGAAAGGGACATAGACAAAAAACAACATAGATACTGAATGAGAAACTCTTCAGTTGTCTTGAAACCAGCCAACACTCCTGCACGTTTACTTTTCTCTAAGTCAAATTTTATCTGGGGAATGCTGTCAGCACATTATTTTTTATGTAAGGTGTCCAGAATGTAAGAGCAGAGCCACAGAAATAAAACTTAAAGCATTAGATTCTGAGCACTCACAAATTCTACTGCAGCCAATTAAGTCAAAGGTCCACAGCTCTTCTCTGCCTAAGGCCTATAGTCACTGTAAATGCCGAGCCTAACATAAAGTTTAGATTCTGATAACAACATCTGAGGCCAGTAAAGCATCTGAATGTCGCAGTCATTATCCTACATCAAATATTTAGACATAATAGTCTAATTCTCTTTTATGGCACATAAGATCACAAGTCTCTGCTGGCATACCAGTTTTCATTACAAATTAAGCATTGTTTGTGCACTATAGAAAAATTCAAGAGATGGTGAAATCCCATGAAGTTCTGAGTTCGGTTTCCAAGTAAGCTTTATCTAACTTACAGCTGACTCCCTTCATCGCTCTCTGCCTGACAGCAAGGAGAAGGTGAGTAAGCCGCCCACACAGACCAGTGCTGCACAGTACCACTGCCGTGCACACTTCAAAATCATTCTTGGCAGGAATTCTGCAAAAATTGCCTCCTCTTAAGGCAACCTGGAAACACTGAACGCTCATGGGAGAGTCTATATGTACGTAAGAAGAGAAACTACACTCTGACACCATGAAAAGAAGGTAAACTTCCTTGTAAATAAAGGGAGAGATAAGTAAAGCCTAACTCCTTTACTGAGGAGTAAGTGATAATAGGAGGCACAAGTTCTTCTGGGAAAGGAGCACGACTTACTACACCAATGAAAGGTGTTTTTGTGGCAGAGGCTTTCTCTGGCAATTACTTTGGAATCTGATAGGATGAAATATAGGAAAGCCAAACAGCTCTCTAGGAACTGTCCTTCACACACCACAGAAATCAGGATTGTATCCACAGACTCCTATGGACTTTGAAATAGGCCTGGGCAGGTAAGTTTAAAAAAAAAACTATTAGTGGAATTGGTAATCCATCCCTAGTGAAGTGTACTAAACATCAACATTACACACACTGAAAAAAACAATATAAAGGTTCCAAGAAAACTATTAGACATTGGTAGCTTAATTCTTCCTTCCTCTCACTTTTTGTCTCTTTGTCTATTATTCAGTCACTTCCAATAAACCAAAAACGTAACTCTTCTCGCTTCCACAATTTACACTAGGGGAAGGAAATAAAAACACAAGCACCCTGTTCTCCCCCGACTCAGTTTTGCGAAAACACGTTTCTCATTAGATGTGGTGTTTAGCCAACCACAGTCTGACCACATGACTGCCATTCCCATGATGATCTGGATATATTGAGAACATTCTCTCTTTAAATCCCCAAGGACTATGTGTTTTTATGGGAAAGTCTAGGGAAGAAGTGAAGCAATCCAAGTCCTTTTGGCAGCTTAGGTTGCCCTTCATTCCTCCACCCCCCATCACCCCCCCCACCTCTCTTCATCCTATTCTCCAGCCTAAACCACAGCTCCAGCTATCATGCCATTTCATTTAGGAATCCTTGGGTTTGGCAACAAATCTTGTTTGGTTTAACAAAAAAAGTCTGCATTATTGCCAAACAATTTAGTTGTAGGAAAAAGCAGCTCATACACAAGAAATATGCTTAAACATAGACCAGGGAGCATGTATTTTTCATTTCTTTTACCCCTCCAAGTAAAGTCATTTTGATTAAGCATTGCTGAAAAGTGTTTAGACAAGATTATTTACCCATGCAGCAAGCATCACATGGTGTCAGTCAACTGCTCTCCCAGCAAGCCTCAAACCTGGCCTGATGGAGCCACCTGTAGGTGGGTCAGCCACTTGCCTGTATTATCCCCGCATGGTCTGGGCTCTAATGCAGCAAATGGAAGTTATGAGAGGTTGTGTTTTGCAGTACATTTCCACTGGCACCCAGCCTGAATGAAGACCATTCATATAGTATGCACAGGGCACTGCAGAGCCATCAGCTCAATAACTAATGACCAAGACCAAATTCAATCAAGGTGAAAGATGCCATAATTCATCCACCATTCAAGCCAGCATTCATGACTGTATATATTGTATACAAAGTGAGGAATTATTTTAAGATTACTTAAGAATAGACTAAAAAGAATCTTCCTTAAAAAGTCTAGGAAATAAAATAACAACTACAATACAAATCAAAGTAGCTATAAACGATGTTCTTTTCAAGACCTGTATTTCTCTTTTCATCATAATTTCTGTCATCCACCTATGCAAAAACATTAACCCTACAGACATTCCTGGCAAATAAAAGATGTTTGAAAAAATATTGCCACGGAACAGAAGGTTTTACCTGCTGAAAGCACGCTTGGACTAAATTTTCAGGGAACAGGTTTCGGATCAGATCCAAGAAAGCATCCAGACTAGACACTTCATCATTCTTCTTCCCTTGACCTAGCTGTTTCTTGAGCTTTGGATTCCCAGGGTGGATGGCTAAAACCAGAATCACACCCAGCACGGCAGCAATAATAGTGGTAGACATGTAGTAGACCATGGCTCTTGTTCCCAATCGGCCGCTTGCTTTAGCATCTAAACCAGACAACCCTGCAGGTGTTTTATTTAAAAAAAAAAAATTAAATTGAAACTCAATATCCAATTCAACGATCATCACAGAAAATCCTGTATAATTTGCCAAGTTTAATGACCGCTTGCAGATATTTTTTGTCCTATTGAAATTTTCACCACTAGATAGAGTAGTGAAGCTTCTCCCTCCCTCCAGTTCTTATATGAACACTGCCTGCCGTTGCTAATCTGAGGACAAGCATTTGAGATTCCATCTAACTGCAAAGGAGACACTGAAAACAGAGAAGGTACCATACCATCTTTTACCCTTCATTGCTGAAAACTCATCATCTTCTGGCTGACACCACAGCTTTAAGGAGGCGAGGCTTTCCAGTGTCATGCCATCATATCTACAAGGTCTAATTCAGGAATTAGGTGAAACAGCATATTAAGAGAATTCTGATGTTCAAGTGGGTAGTGCGTGTGCAAGTGTTTGAAAAGAAATTAACTGGAGCATCTACCTACTAAAGCCAATAAAGTTAATCAGAAAGGAACCCTGAAGTACACATTACAGCTGCAAAATCCTTGACAGGATCACACTACTCTTCTTCTTCCTACGTCACAAAAAGCAAACCAGGTGATATCTGTAGCAAGCATCTTAAAGTACTTAGGGCTAATAGATCTTACCTGTGATTAAACTGGAGATAATTAAAGGGAGGATCAACATTTTTAGCATCCTCATAAGTATATCCCCTGGGAAGGCTATTAACATGATTATGTCAGGGTCAATAGGTGTTGCTAGACGAAGAAGACCCCCACATAGTGCACCCAGGATGACACCTAGAAGGGGAAATAAAAGAGAGCAGATAGGCAAGGTAAGTATATCTGAATGGGTATTGATTACCCAGCAGAACAGCCTGGATGAAAAACAGTTACAAAAGGTAGGTGATTTTTGGTGCAGAGACAGATTTCTTTCTTCTTCAGAATGCCTAGCCTTCTGACTAATACCAGGGAATATCATGCTTACTATGTATCTCATGATTAAAGACAAGTGGTCCTGATGTGCAATCTTCTGTCAGCACTATTTTGCTTCCATATGATATTTGCTCATAATATTATTGAGATTTTTTTTTCCAGTGCTGTGTAGGTCTTGTAACATGTGGAGGTATAATCAAATATAATTCATATTTTCAGCCTAAAGCTGACAAGAGGTGATGTGGCTTATACAAGGCCTTTCAGAACTGGTAGCAAAGCCAGGGTTAGGACACAGCTCTTCAGAGTCAACACTGAGCTTGTAAGAAAAGACTGGTTACCACTAGAAAACAAGGATGGCTTGAATACCTATGAAAAACTACAACCTATGAAAAACCCTGCAGAAAAGCTAGAATAGTCTTGTGAAGAAAAAAGACTCAAGTTCAGTTTGGGGTTTTTTGGAGGGGAGTGTCAGTCATTTATTAGCAACACAGCCATTGCTGATTCTATCACTATCAGCATACAATTTAAGGAAATAACAAATGGAACCAAAAAAGAATAGGTTCCAGCCTCATTCCCACCTACCCCCCCCCAGCTCTGATGAATCCTTTCAGGGAATTGGACACCACTTTTCCAATCAAACCTGAAATAACTGATATAGGGCTGTGTCATTCATCCCAAAATGCCTGATCTGGAATATAGCACATATCACTGAAGAAAACTTGATTCTTGGTACTCACTTATTACTCCTTGCCTTCAATAGACTGCATCCTACTGTTGTCACTGAGTTAATGTTTTCATATAGTCATTATCATAAACAATCCCTTCATTACTTATCTAGAGTCTTAGTATGACCTAAGACCCTCTCTCAGGCCTGAGGCTGTTTAAAAAGGCTGTGTTTACTTCTTTAAAATAATCTCTGTGAATGGATATTTAATGTTTACATTGAAGATGCCTGTTTTCTTGATCCCAAGCCCATTATAAAGTCTCAAGTGTGATAAAACTCGATGACAAAGCCTGAGTCGTGTTTTGAAGTAACTATGGGATTAACTTATGATTTTTTTTTGAAGTATCAGTTTGATACAATGGAAAATATGTCTTTAAAACTTCCTGTGGAACTGCATCAGGTACTTTCTAAAGATGATTCAAAGCAAACACTCTAAACACTTCAGTAGCATGGATTTTGAAGGCTGAAAAATATGGAGATGAAATTTGCAGCTCAAGACCAGCTGCTGTTAGTCTTTCAAACAATAACAAAACAGACTATGTCTATGAATTTGTTGCATTTGGCTGTTAGGCTTTCAGTGAAAGAGAACGAGGCAAAGAGCCAGTGAACCATAATAAAATGTCAAACCATTCCATATTTGGAAGTTGCTTAAGCCAGAGGCAATATTCAGGATGAGATCACCAAGTTCTGGCTGGTAGGTGTACCCCCCCCAACAAACCCCACCCAGAGAGCGAGGGCCAACTTAAAAAGTAGTTGAAGAGAAAAGCATGGGCTGAGAGAGAAAAGATGCAGGACAGGAAGTTTTGGAGAGCGTGGGTTTTTTTCTCATTACTGAGAGGAAAATGTGTGGTTCATTTAGTTCTACTGAATGGCATCGATCTGACCAGCCTGGGGTTTTAGACTGTATTTCAGTCAAAAACAGATATAGTATGTAGCTCAGTGGTGCAGACTTGCTCCATGTTGTGTCAATAATGTCCTGCACACCTGAACGAAAGGGATAACCTGAGGGTGTCCTATTTACTCTCTGGCTGTTCAGCTAGAACAGCTGATGAACACAGTTTGTGGTACTATATGAACAAATACAGATACACATAAGTGTCCAGACAAGCAGGATGTAGCTTACCAAATACAGTAAGAGTCAGGAGCAGGTTTCTGCGGAGTGACTGGCAAAATTGCACACATATGTTCCTGGATCTGGGCTCCACTGGACTCAAATGACTTTCATGCATCCGCACTTCTACTTGCTTAGGCATATTGTTGGCACTGGAATAAAAAATGAAAATCAAGTAAAAGTTATGGCACAAGATGCCAAAAGTGAGAGGAAAGTCTGGATTACTTCCAACATATATAAGTGGTGAACCTGATGCATATTCCAGTGCTTCTCACATCTCAAACACTGTATCTTTACTGCCCTGAAGAAGAGGTCTCTGAAATGCTAACGGTCTGTTCTTTTAAAGGTCTTGCCTTTAAGGTATTTTGGAGGGGGGGGTTATCTTTCAAACAGTGGAGACATACCCAGAATGAATTCACCGGCCACAGCATCTCAGCTGTTTTAGGGATTAAACTATTTGTCCTGATCTGGAAAATTCAGTTTCCCCAAAGGTTAGGGTTCTCTACTGAAATAGGAGAGAGGGTAGAAACTTTGTTCTTCAACCATCAGGAAAACAAAGATTTTAAATACCTGATTTAATTCCAATTCAGAAAAAGTTTAAAAAACAGGATTTATTTGCAAAACAAAGTATTCCAGAGTATTTTGGTTTAGTCTTCCCAAAATATCATTTCAACACTAATGTTTTATTTTAATATAACCCAAATGTTGAGGTCAAAAGAATCTTTTTTTTTTTAATCTGGTTCTAATGAGATTTGATCCACTGCTTGTGAAAAGTAGTCAGAAAACTATACATTCCCCATGAAAACCTTTGATTTCATTGAACTGGTGGAATCTAGAGGAAGAAGTTTTTGACTAACTCTGTTTTACATCCAAACAAGTGATTTGCATATGAGTGCAGGACTTTGAAGGCCATGCCTCCTAACTTTCTCAATGCATGAGAAACCTTTAGCAATAGACTCCTTTCTTACATACAACATCTTAAACTGAACTTGAAAAAAAAATACTACTACAAATAAAATATACAGGAACTAAAGGTTAAGGGTGTCTACTTAAAGAAGAGAAATGGCTGAAGAACAAAATTTTTATTATCAAGAAAACAAAGATCTTGAAATCTGGTCTTATGCCAGCTTAGAAAAAGGAGATCAACTTTGCCTCTATAGTAGTAGATTGAGGTCTACAGACTTGAAATAGGTTTAAAAGACAGAGAAAACTTGATGCCCATCAATCCACCCTGAATACTTTCTCAGATGAGGCTACGCTGTCCCGCAGTGAGTCTGTCTGGGGCATACCATTGACTGCCACAAAACTAACAACAAGCTAAGCATTTATAGGAAGACAAAACATTTCTTAATTATATGCATACAATTCATCATCTTCATAGCATTTCTCAGAGTTACACTTGAACCTCTAATAAGAATTCAGTTGTTTTGAGGCAAATAGTTTTGTGATTAGCTCATGATGTTCCCATTCAAAGTGAAAAGGAATTTCTTCCCAATACATCCCCTCGTGGAAAAGGTAGCATTGGTAGTATTGCATCAGGGGATGCCCTTTAAAAAAGGAAAAAAATAATAGTCATGCCTCTTTCCTGAATAGCTATAAGTGCACATATGAGAGATAAATAAGGATTAGCCAGGGGAAAATGTCATTCTTGGTTATCTGAGAAGCTATAAGAAAGATGAGACTGACTGCAGTATTCATGCACGTGAGCCACAAAGCCACTAACCACAGATGGAAGTGTACTACAAAATGAAGGAATCTGAGATTCAAACTTTGCAACTGGGGACTACATCTCATTTCACTTGCACTCTAACATGAATGCATCATTTATTTGGATTTATATTCACCACAGGTATGTTATATATCCCTCTGAAACTGTAAAATGTGGGCAGCTGAAAATAACTCAAAAGAAAAACTTAGAGGCTCTTCCATTAGTAAATAATGAGGCAGAACTGGAATGGATCATTAGACAAAAGCACTTGATATTATATGTCTCTTTAGGATTTTACTTTGGGCTAGGTTCAGTCTGGTTTCCTAGACTGAATCCTATCCCTTTCCCATCTAACCTCACACATAGTTTCAAATTGTCCAAAGAAGAGCCACCTTGCAAGCACTTGCTTTCCCAGCTGTGGGCTACTCTGAGAAGTACCACACATCCTTTTTGCTAATTTGCAGACAACAGGTGTATGTCATTCCCTTCCCATGATTGCTCAGATAAGTCCTTCCATACAGAAGCAAGCCTCTGTTCCTGCTTGGAGTCAGGCCTTATTCCTGTTCCTGCTCCCCTCTAAGTGGCAGTAGGTGCTTGCTGCCCAGGTGCCCCTTCCACACCATGTCCAGTCAGCATCCAGAAGCTCATGAAGTGAGGGGATGGTGGACCTACTCCATGGCTACAACAACTACTTCAGGATCATACCCCAGGTGAATCAAAGCCAGCCCTGCTTGGGGTGATCAATACATAGCTTTTACACTACCATGACTATCTTCTTCAAAAGTTCAGTCATGTCAAATGTAGATATCCAAACACTCACTGACAAGAGAAGAAAATGAAGACACAGAATTCTTTAGGGGCGTTCCTTCAATGCCCAGAAATCTACAACCATGCCGTGTGCTTCCCTCATGTGCAAAAATTGGGCTTTACGCTCTCCAGCTCTTCAGGATTGCAAGTGAACCTCCAGCATGGAATGAGATTTTTGAATGGTATGTTTTTTCTTAAAGAAAAAGACTAATGCTAAAATATGTTAGTTGCACAGATCTGTTATAAACAGTGCTGACAGATGAATATCATCCCATGAAAAATGGGACCACAAATGATAATTATTTAAATATCCACACTGTTAACACTGGTCTTAGCAATGATATTTTTATCACTAGCCAGAGACATGGTATTTTCAGGCTGTTCAGTATGTTGCAAGGTGTTTGGGGTGGGGGAGGAGACACAAAACACCAAAAAAAAAAAAAACCCTTCAGCAAGTGATAAAGCAGCTTTTGGTATAACACATGAGATTAATATTTGGCTCCAGAAACTATCTGTGCAATTACTAGGAGATGAAAATCTGTTTGATCTGTGAATGACAGAACTGCCATAGAAATGGGCTTGTGACTTATGAACTGAGTTATCTATGTGGTGCTTTTCCTTTGCCTCTGTTTGTATCTTGTAAATGGTATTTAGCTCTCAAAGGAATGCAAAACTTTGCTTCTCAAATTTGCTGTTGCATAATCGCCTAACTACAAGAAGTTCCTGTTGAAGTTAATGAAAGATGCACAGATGTAAATTAGGGTGGAATATGGCCCGTTATGGACAGCAGCCCAGTCACGTGGCAATTTTGCATGTCAGACTATCCCATGCACTCTACACAGATCTCAGCTTCTTTCTCTACTTTTGGATACTGACTGCATTTTGTGCTGCACAGATGCTTTCTAGCGTGTCCAGGCAGAAACACCTCTGGCCACGGAGGCAGCAGCGTGGCACTGAAGCTTCCTCCTGGCTGGGTCTTTGCGGGGAACGCATCCATTGCACACCTTCTAGCAACAGACAAAGCAAGAGAAAACTTGTGCAGGAACTTACCAGAAACTATAAATTCGGTAAATACCTTTCTCTAGCAAGCACCCTAGATCTGCTCAACCCCCCTGCTGACAGTCACTGACAACACTGCACCCCCAAACACCCCACAGTCTCCACACCAGGAAGGCCTCAGTGCCATGGTAACTTAGGG